AAGGCCTTCACAGAGAACGCAAACGGCCTGAGCTTCACCAGGGAGGACCCCTCAGCGGAGGGTCTCCAGTTCCTGGATGTACGCCTCATAGCCACCCAGGGAGGCACTTGCTGGCGCTTCCAGCAGCGGTCGCAGAAGCCGGTGCTGCCATTCTCAAGCCACCACTCAAAGACAGTAAAAGCAGGCATCGCAAAAAGTCTCATCTTCTCCACCCGCATAAAAGTCCTGCCAACACCTCTCCCCATCTAGCCTGGAGGGTCAGCTCAGCCGTCTCACAAACGCCGGATACCCGCGCGACCTGCTGGCCTCCACGCTCAGGAAACTAATAATTGAAAAAGCCGCCACACGGAAGCCTGCCCGGAAAAGGTACACTACCATCCCCTATTTCCACAACACCGCCCACCGACTAAAAACAGTGGCTAAACGCTTGGACATGGACGTTGCGTTCTCGTGCCTCTTCAAGTTGAGCGCAATGTGCCGCTTGGTGAACTCTCCCCCTCCTCCCAAGATCGACTGCGCCACGAGGCACGCGGCACCCTTTGTCCCCTGCGCGGTCGGGCGGGTGTATTCCGTTCCCCTCTCGTGCGGGGCAGAGTACATCGGGCAGACGGGCCGCTGCCTCAACGACCGCCTGCGCGAACATGAAAGAGAAATAGCAAGAAACGGCGAGGAGTCCCAACACCCCATGGTTCGTCATCTCAAAGTTTCCGCTCCTTGTGCCCCTGAGTTCCCGTCCGCGCGTGTTCTGGGGGCCAACAAAAACCGCTACGGGCGCGAGATCGTGGAGGCGTACGCCATAAAAGAGGCTCCGAAGAACATTTCGTCGGCCTCGCTGTCGCTGTCGGAGAGAGAGGTGACATTTCTGAGACTGGAATTGACGACCTTGGCGGGCGCGGGCCGGGCGAGTGGTTCTTGCTCCTGAGAGGAAAATCGGGACGCCTCCTCCCTTCCCTTCCTTCCCGCAGTCTCTCCGGTTTACTTTCCCCTGTTTTTCTCCCGGGGCCTTGTCTTGCCCCCCTCCTTCCCTTTCTCCCCCCTTTTAAATTTCCCTCTCCTATAGTGGAGTTCCGAAGGCGAAGCGTCCGGGAATAAATCATTTGTTTGTTGAAAGTTGAAAGATGTACTGTCCCGTCCCCTGTCTTTATGTATATAACTCTTTCTAGACTTGTATAAGTTAACTTTGTATTACACTACGGGGCAGAAAGAATAAACCGAGTCTTTGATTGCAAAAGACGCACGTTTCGATATGCCACCGAAAACCCTATATGAAAGTAGGCAGACACCAAGAATTTAACAGTCGGTAGTTTTTTGTTTTGTTCGATTTTATCTTTTTTTTTATTTTAAGACATGTTATTAACGTGAAAAAAGAAGACGCAAAACAGATTAAAACTGAATGAGCTCTCTGCGAGAACCCTACTTTCCAGTTTTCGTGGCAAACAATCATTCTCGTTAAGGATGCATTAAAATAGCCCGTGGCTTCCACGTAACCTACATTTCACCATGTCGGTGGTCCTTCCTACTTGATCTAGAAAAGTAAAAGCAACCGGTGGTGCCAAATGCGTGCTGCACAACATACGCGCTCAACAGGAAGGCTGCTGCAATGGCCACTTATGAGACACCAGTGAAATTCAGAATGGCCTCTCATGACTTCACATGCACTAACATCGCATAGATGCCATTGGGGTGTCCTTACTGCAGAGTGCGTAAAGTCTGCGGCGTACGTTTTGCTCAACTGGTTCTCTACTTTTTCGGCAAGAACAAGAAACGCATAACAGTCAGCATGACACTATACTGTATGGCCAAAGTCATAAGTATAGTCCTCCTTTATTCTTGAAATTACAGGAACTATACTCCGCAATAACGTTTCTTGGCAATTCAGTGGCAGGTACAAGCACGTGTTCCCTCTCTCATTTTGAGCGCTGAATAAAGCTGCGCGCGGGCTCTCCTCCTCTCTCAGGAAATGCCAAGAAAAGTTGTCGCGGAGTATAGCGAGCATCCGTGTAAGTCGCGTTGCATGCGAGTATACATGGGTCACACTACTGCCAGCATGCTTCTCTAAAGCGAGAACCATTCCAACACGATTCTTTTAACATGTAGCGCAGCGAATACTTCGAGCTCAAGTTCCTTGCTCAAGGACGGACCTGGAGACTTTAATCTCTGAATGATAAAGCGCTTCAGAGTAACGAGTCAGATACTTTCCCGCCTAAAATCATTATTGCCTTTATCTCAAACCTAGGGGAAAAGCATTTTCATCCTTGAGAGATCTTAACCGGAACCATATCACTCGGGGAGTGAACCACATCCTTTGTTTTCACTACACAGACACATCACAGCCCACGCACCGCTGAATACCAAAACCCAAAACGAAGAACAACCTTCGAGTGCAGAGCCGCAACTGAGCACGCAAGCATTCCACCGCGTCGCGGCGCAACATCTCCTAGATAACAAAGCCGTTGGGCTGAATGAGATGACGTCATCAGTACAGTCTAACGCTGGGCGCAACTTGGACACGACGATTGCGTCGACGTTCGGCCCAAACTTGGCTCGAAGCGGAGCGCTAACGCAGCCCTCGTTTGCAATTTCTCTCCAGCCTTGGCCTTCTCTGACAACTACGGCTTTGTTTTTTAGGAGGTATTGCGCAACGCCTCCTCCTCTCGGGCACCGCGCCAGCTGTGAGCGTGACTTTGCCGAATACGAAAGGGTTCGTTTTGACGAAGACCCGCTGGTATCTGTCAGTTTTTTAGTGCCGGGTTGAAAGGAAGGAGTTGAAGCATTCTCACGTCAGCGCTTCGAACCAGCGATTCGATCCAATGAAAGCGTCGCACGCGACAACTGACAAACGTAAGACACCGCCGCGTTTTCGTCGAAGCGAGCGTCCTAAAGCTAACGCATTAAAAGGGGCACAGAAGAAAGGAATAAAAAAAGAATGCGTGGCATCTGTGACAAGTCAGAGAAAACAAGATTCTTTAAGTGGGATTGCTCTTCAATTATAAGCGGCGCCCTCATAAACCTACAAATTATGGAACAGGAACAATGGAATATCAAGTCAGTAAAGCTCTCAATAACATTAAAGACCACATAGATTTTAATAACACTTTTAGTAAATTTAAAAGGGATCTCAGGACACTCATGGTCGGCAGTGGTATCCCCTTATTATCTGAATCTGTATGTAATAACTAGCTGTTGTTGTGGTATAATCTTAAAATGAATGTTTTGTTTACTACTAAGCGTTAACTTCGTAAACTGCGTGCTGCTGGAAAGCGCTGCACTGGTGACAGAGACCTTGTCAGGCTTCACGCCTTTAGTCTCTGTCTCTATTTCGGTTGATTCGGGAAAATAAATAAACATTCAATCATTCATTCATAAAGAAAGCAGCTGAAGTTGCTCCATTTACTTTGCCAGTTTGGTGTTCATTTTCATTGATGCCTGCTCACTCTATGAAATCAATTCAGAGATTTCCTGGTCTATTCGCCTTATCTGAGAGTGCAAAACCTTGAAAAGCTCGCGTTCATTCATCCAGGTTACATAGAATGATTTGTTAACACCAGAACAAAAATGAGGTTTTTAAAGGACTGAAAAATCTACAGCTGTCGAAAAAATACTTAAAAGTACTTTAACACTAAAGTGAAGAAGAAGATATCTTATATCATATCATATTCAAACCTCGTTTTCTTAATGCTAGTATGTGAGGTAAGGTGGACAATTATTTTTTTATTGAAAGCCAACTGAAAAAAAAAACAAATTGCAGAATCTAGAATATGTACACTGTAAAAAATCTTTCGTAGAAAAAACGAGAAAATGCTTGGCAGCTCTATTAAGAGGGGATGCTCATTAAAATAACGCACCCCCATATTCAGAAAATATGTGAAAAGGGACGTTAATGCAACGATACCCATTTTTTCAAAATACGAGGATGCTCGTTAAACTTATGTGTACACATCATTTTAATGAGCATCCTTATACTCTGAAAAAATGGGTATTATAACATTAATCTAACGTGCCCCCATATTTTGAAAAAATGTGAAAAAAGTCGTTAATATGACAATACTCATTCTTCCGAAGTATAAGGATGCCCATTAAAATTATGCATGCACATAATTTTAACAAGCAACCTTGCACTTCGGTAAAATGGGTACCGTTGCATTGACGACATCTTTTTTCACATATTTTCACAATATGGGGGCACATTAGCATTTTAATGGGCAACCCCTCTTAATAGAGCTGCCAAGCATTTCATCATTTCTTTTTTACAAAATATTTGTTTCTACATCTCTTTTTAGCTGAGGCACTGAAGTAGCTCATGTTCTGCTGTCCAATATTTTTCACTTACACAAGTTTCTGTGCAACGATATTCTGAAATATAACTTCAGGGTCATTGATGCACCTGGAAACGTGAGCCATATACTATGGGGATTGCAATGCAATGCAATAGTAAATTTATGCACTTTGGAGCAGCTCTGCTGCTTTGTCTAAAATGAAGAGAAAATAAATGGCACAGAAACTTTAACTTCAAAATAGGTGAGATAGGGTGCAGCAAAACAGCAACTAGCTAGTGTTTCTCATATGATGCACCTGCAGACACAGCTGTGAGCTGCTAAAATCTGTTGCAAGCCAAGAATAATAGGTAAGTGGAGAGAAGGAAACCACCATTGCACCATGATTGGTTGTTTTCTCCTCCCCACTCCCCTGCTCTCCAGCCTCCGCTCTGCTGATGTTGAAAGAGTGGCGGGCTCTGTGGGAGGGGCTTCCTCTTGCTGTTCTAGAGTTGCAACAGACCAGAGCGACCTGGAGGTTTTCTAAAGTGCAGCTCAAGCTGGCCGGATCAAATTAAGGCATCATATCGGCAGCAAATTCTCACAACATAAACACCCTTGAGAAAGGGTTCAGAATTGAGACAGCAGTGAAAATGCAAAATAGTTTGGTCGGTTGTTTGTAAATTATTTTTCTTTAGCTCTTTGTAGCTGTTTTCTTCGAGCTTAATTTAAACAACAAAAAACGAGGGAAATTGTAATAGCTCTTTATTATATCTAAAATTCTTTTATGGGTACTTCTTCCGAGGTGTAGGGCTATCTCAATGCTCCCTGCATATGCAAAAGAAAGATGTATATAGTCATAAGCTAAGCACAAGGCTGTCGAAACAATACAAAACAAGGTGAGCCTGACATGCACACAATACAAATAATCCTGCTCGATCTGCAAAGAGAGACCAGCTCACCTTGATGAAAACAACTGGTCTGGACCATAAAGGAAGGCCAGCACATCTCGGCGCCTAGTCTTTTCCTCCGAGGAGACCTGCGCTTATCACAGAAAATGTAGTTTTAGTTGAAAACCAATTGACATTGCAGGAGAGAGGCATGAAATATGATACAGCAAGTAATGTCCGTGACAAATAGAACACAGACCACAGCTCACTTCCAGTAAAACACCGTGCCTTGGGCCTCAGGCAATTAACGAAACAAAAACTTGTCTACGCTCAATCTTGCACTTTACGTGCAGGAAACCTGCAATAGACCCTTTCCGAAATTCAGTGCCATCTGGTGGTTTGTAAAGCAGTTTAGGTTTTGCCATATCAATGGCGGAAACGAACTTGTATCGGCACCGTCGCTTTCGCAAGTCAACGGCACGCGAGGAATTGTTCGGTGTGAGTTCTTTCTCGATCACGTTCAGTTCGATGGTGACCAAGAACTTGCATTCAGAATTAAGCTCCAACCCACTCAGATGCCTCGAGAAAATTCCCTACACCAGTGTGCTTTAAAGCCGATTGTATGCCGCCCACAGAGTGACTGAATCTGAGTTATTAGAAATAAACGCTTACGTAGCTCTTGTGTTCCATTCCTACGTCGCGTCGTACTGACCCCCCGAATACAGGCCTCGCAAGATCCGCTTAGGATCATCTTCAACGTCTTCCTTTATCAGTCACTAGAAGACCGCCATTGGTATGGCACAGATGCTGTTCCACAGATGATGATAGTGATCAAAGTAGCCAGACAGAATTTCGGAAAGGGTCTATTGCCAGGGAAAATGCAGATTTAGTTGAAAACCAACTGACATTTCAGAAGAGAAGAAAAATCTTGGGCAGCAAATAATGTCTGTGACAAGTAAGGCGGGTAGGAGACCATAGCTCACCTTCAATAAAACAATGTGCCTGGGCCAGTTAAAAGAAGAACACCTTGTTCGGACCCCAGTCTACGCTTTCATCTTAAGAAACCTGCGCTTAACAGGAAAATGCAGTTTTAGTTGAAAACCAATTGATATTTCAGAAGACGAGCGAGATAAAACCTGATGCGGCTAATAATGTCTGTGATGAATAAAACACAGACCACTTGTAATGGGACCATAGCTCACCTTCAATAAAACTCCATGCCTTGGACGATTAAAAAAACAAAAAAACTTGTCCACGCTCCATCTTGCGCTTTACGTGCAGAAAACCTGCAATTGCCAGGGAAAATGCAGATTTAGTTGAAAACCAACTGACATTTCAGAAGATAAATCTAGTGCAGCAAATAATGTCTGTCACGAATAAGGCACAGACACTTAAAGAAGAACATAGCTCACCTTCAATAAAACAACGTGCCCGGGCCGTTTAAAAAAAAAAAAATAACAGCTTGTCCGGACCCCAGCTTACGCTCTCGTCTGAGGAAACCTGCGCTTGTCAGGAAAAATAGTTTTAAGTTGATATTGCACAAGAGGACCAAGACAAAACCTGATGCAGTGAATGTCTGACGAATAAAACATGGACCACTTGTAACGGGACCATAGCTCACCTTCAGTAAAACTCCATGCCTTGGACGATTAAAACAACAAAAAACTTGTCCACGCTCCATCTTGCGCTTTACGTGCAGAAAACCTGCAATTGCCGGGGAATATTCAGATTTAGTTGAAAACCAATTGACATTTCAGAAGAGAAGAAAAATCTAGTGCAGCGAATAATGTCTGTGATGAATAAGGAACAGACACTTGCAGAAGACCATAGTTTACCTTCAATAAAAACGATGTGCCCGGACCAGTTAAAAAAAGAATGACTTGTCAGGACCCCAGCCTACGCTTTCATCTGAGGAAGCCTGCGCTTATCAGGGAAAATGCAGTTTTAGTTTATAACTAATTGATATTACAGAACAGAGGCATAAAAAAAAAAACTAATGTGGCGAATAATGTCTGTGACGAATAAAACAAAGACCACTTTTAAAGAGACCATAGCTCAGCTCCAGTAAAACACTGCTTTGGTCAGTTGAAAAGAGAAGACTTGTCAACGGCTCATCTTGTGCTTCTCTCCGAGGAAACCTGCGCTTGTCTGAGAAAATGCAGTTTTCGTTGATCGCAACACCTCAAGGCCAGGTATTGTGTTCTAGGATCTTTTAGAAATCATCCGCAAATTACAACAAGTCACATATGCTACAGGTGAAAACGAGACTATTTTAAGACTACTAGGGCAACATATGAAACTTGCCCACTGAATCACTCTAAAAATATGGCATATAAAAAGTAATTAGGTTGATGATACATATAAACTATGAAAAACAAATAAAGTCTTCCAATTTTTAAACATTCTACAGCGAGAACCAAAGGGAATCTAACCCATTTTCGCGAGAAGCGGCACTGTAATTTGTGACGTATCGTAAAATACCGGGCAAGCGCCCACTCAATATTTAGACATAATCGCAAAAAAATGGGAGATGGGCGCTTTTCCGGTTATTAATTTTACATTTCAACGTACTGCGCAGACTTTGTCAGATATTACAAATTTGGGAATGGGCACTTAGTGGAGAGTGGGCGGATGCACGGTATTCTACGGTATGTTCAGCTAGGTGGTGGATTTCTTTTATAAAAATTTCGAAGGAGAAACTTGCCCCGGTCAAATGTTACAAATAAATACAATAGGTTTCCTATGGACAGACATGGAATCAAGGCTGTCTCAGGTGGAAGTTTAAAAACGCGGTTGAGGGGCACTAAACTATATACGAGACAAACCGGGTGATGAGAGCGAAGTAATAAGTGTCTTCGTTCCTACCTTCAATGTTTGAGCTAAATCGAACGTCCCATTGGCCCACAACATTTTCAAGCTCCAATCTGAATAAGCTCAAAACCACGTTGGTCCATAACAAATATATTGTTTTTATTTGTAACTCTTTGCTGAGGTAAGTGTTTTCTTTGGTACTATTTTAACAAAACAAATCCACAACCTAGCTGAACCTACGTCACAAACTACACTACCGTAGCAAGCAAGACTGATTTTTTGGGGGGGGGTCAAGTCGGCTAGCGCACACCAGATCGGAGCATGTGGAGCGAGAGCTCGCACTGCAGAACTTAGGGATCCTGGGTTAAATCCCCACACATGCTCATTTGAACTGGATGAGCATCGTACCCGCATGCGGTCGTGTCTCACTACTGCGTGTGCTTGTTAAAGACCGCAGGCTAGTGGTTCTACTGCACTGGCTAAATCGCTCATCTACAGCGAGTTATTCGTCACAACTTTGAAATGGCTGACTAACTACACGCTGTATAACTATCCACATAACCCAAATTATTTTTACTGATTTTTGCGATGTATATAAATTTGTGGGCTAGATTCCTTTGGCCCTCGCTGTAACAATTAAAACATAGATTAACAAATATTTTTGTAAATTTACAAGGACCTCAAGATTCTAATGGTAGGCGGCGGTATGCGAGCCTTCATTGTACCTAATATGAATAATATATATAAAATCAAGTTATCTAATCTGTCTATCATTTTAATTCCATCTAGCACTATAAATAAAACACTGTCTCTTTAATTTATGCTGCAGGGCTGCCGCATATGTCCTTGCTTTTTCTTTTATATTGTGTACCATTTGTAAGAACTGAAGGCAGTACAGGAACTTTTAGAAACATTTTCGCCTTTAGTCTCGTATCCCCATCGGTCAAATTAGAAAAAGAAAATCGAATTAAAGGAATTCCTTCCAGCGCAGCTCTTGGGCGCCTCTTTACCGGCTTCAGCGGCGTCGGCGTCGCCGTAACTGCGCGGTGCATTATAGGACCTTTCCCATGATGCAACACGTGTGGAGGAGGACGAGGGGAGGAGGAGGGGAAGAGGAGAAGAGAAGGGAAGAGGGATGAGGAGCAGAGGAGGGACAGGGAGGAGAGGAGGAAGGGTATACCCTCCCCTCTTCCTCCTCAAGAGCTATGCTCTAATTCGGCGTTACGGGGTGTTGTAAACGTCTTTTTCTTTTTTTTGATCCGATAAAACAAATTTTTATCTGCAATAGCAAAAATCAAGCATCACAAAATATAAGAGGGAAAGACGAAAATAGAAAACACACCATTAGAGTGAACGAATCTTGTTCAGCAGACCTAGAATTCTGGCTGGGATTCCATTGACCTTGTTGTGACCACGGGAGCTGGACTTGCTACCTTTAGATGGGTTTATCTGGCCAAAATGCCTGTATAAGAGGTCAAAGAAACGCATGTCAATTGAACATGAACAACTCACATTCTTGGGTGAAAGATGTCGAGATGTCCTTGTGCGTGTTTATACAGCCTGCCTTTGGGCTGACTTTCACATGTCGGTGGCTGGTTCACACTGCGCAGCAAAATATCTCGTGCAGTATGGCTGCTAACCCGAGGCCAACATGCAGTAGTGATACACAAACAGATGCCAGTATAATGCCTATCAAGATTAGAACAGGTGAGGCGCTAGTCCGACTGTGGATTCCTGGACTCTGCAGTGCGAGGTCTAGGTCCACATGTTCAGGGTTGCGGTGCACTAGCATAATCGACCACCAGTCCTGCCATGAACAAACACTGAATTCTGACATATCTGTACCTCTGAAGGAACTCCAGCGTGTACGAGGCCTCCTTTGGGTACTTGATGTTGAAGACGAAATACGCTCCCAGGAGCGAGCAGAGAGCGACCTCGAGACTGCTTGCCTCAAACACAAGCACCCTGTCAACAACCAGCGCAATCTGGAGAGGGTCATCTAGAAGCGTAGAACCTAAGTAAAAAAAAAAAAAAGCAAGATGTGATGATCATCAAACCGACATGTTACAGATGTAGTTAATTTATTGCAATCGTAACGGTTCAAATGGATGACAGAAAGGACATTGCAATGAGGTAAACTAGGAAATATGGATGCTCTGCATTGGAATACAGTACAAGCTCGTTACAACAGATCTTGTTGCAGCAGAAACTTGGATACAACATACTGATTTGTGAAGCTCAGTTGGTTTTCCTATTTGCACCACTGATTCAACTTCCTATCTGAATAATACATAATCCTTTTTTACAACAGAGCGAAATAGTAGTCAAAACCAGGGCTCGGCGATATCAGAGATGCATGTATCTCCAATACTAACTTCAGAGACAGTCGAGTACCTTGTATCTGGTACTGCCTGCCAGGAAAAAATGTATCAATGTATCAGTACCTAATACCCATTTTTACAGTATCGAGTATTTTGGAGATACCCAATAGTTAAGAAATTAGCATTAACTTTTAAAGCTCACTTCCAGTTCATTTTCTTTCTGGCAAAACCAGGCTATCCTTCTTTCTATTTTGTGAGCTGTACATGCAAATTGCACAATTTTGTTTTTTGGAACTGTGGGAACGGGTCGGGTAACACCTTCTGTAAAAGGGCAGACAGACAACACCGGCATCTTTGTTGAACTGACATCTCCTCAGTTGAAGGCCGATAAGTGGACTAATGCAATGCAATATATCATCATTAGAGGGTTTTAGTAAGCCGGATTTTCAGTCCTAAAGTGATACCCACTAAAGAAACACGTTTAAGGGCAATGGAAGGGTATCGTCATCGGGATTAACAAAACGGTCTATAAAAATTTCAAGATCTCTGCTAAGCGTGCCTTTGAGCTCGGCAGAGAGCTATCAAGGCAATCGTGGCCAGTAGCATTTGGCCTCTTTCTTTCCTGGTTCCCTGCCCTCCTCATTTCCAGCTCTCCCTATCCCCCGTTTACCCTCGTCACTCCCATCCCCTTGTCTTCCTCCTCTCTCCCTTGTTGGCTGTGCGTTTGTCAAGGTAAAAGGTGACCCTGACCTTGGACCCTTGACCTCTCCTCCTCCCGTGTCCCCCATCCCTTCTAGCTCCCCTCCCTTCTCCCTTTCATTCCCTCGTCTCCTCCTCTTTGCTCCTCCTCTCCCTTCTCCTCTATATCCCTCTTCCTTCCCACTCTGCCATCCACCTCACCCTCCTTCCCCTTTATTCCTTCTTCCCCCTCCTCCTCACTCCCTTGTGTGATTATGTGTTTGTGCAATCGTGGACTTAGACCGATATCTCTCGATTTCCTCCACTCCATCAATTCGCCTCCTAACCCAGAATCGTTAAGAATTTCTTTATAAATAACACAATCAAATCGCCTCCTAACCCAGAATCGTTAAGAATTTCTTTATAAATAACACAATCGTCAACATAGAGGCCTATGAAAGAGGAGATACGTGCAGGAAGGTTGTTAATATAAATAAAAAATAAGTCGGCCGAGTACGGTACCTTGTTGGACTCCGCAGCTAACATGCAAAGCTAACAAAAAACGTTTATGAAAAATATCAATACCAGAACCCATAAAATCCAGGTGAGAAATGTTTATAATCAATGTAAATTAATCAGGTTTCCTGCTTTCCAAATACTTGCGATGGAATTTCAGCTATGTATCGAAGCATCTAGGATACTGCATGGAGCATTTAGATCAAAGATGGACTTTGCGTCTGTATCTTGTATCAGTACCTAAATGTAATTTTCCATGGTGTCAAGTATACTATCGAAAGCCCAGCCCTGGTCAATAACAAGGGCCATTATAACGAGCTTAGACTGTAATTGCACTACTCCTTTCACAATTTTCTTAATTATCTAAAAATTAAAAGGCAGTGCAAAACTATCTCACCAAGGACCGCAAGGTGAGGTGTATCTGGGCAGGAGCCAAGAACACTGGCAGCTGTTGAGTGCTATAATGAATACAAAAATCAAGAATATTTAATGGTGTACTTGTTATTGATAAGAAAACAGATACTTCCATGGTAAAAAATTGGTCAGCAAGGCTGAGAATCGAGAAATTAAATTAATAAACTTTTTGCAGCTAATATTTAAATGCCATGAACAATATTGTGCGTGGTATTATGCACTTCACACAAGGAATTGCAGTCAACAGAGCAGATGATCACTGCCTCACAGAGTTGACCTCTGCAATTGATTGCATACATTTATGAATAACTAAACAAGTTCATGGAATAAGATTACCAAGCTCACCGGGTGAAATGAGATGAGAGCCTCTGGATTCTCGTCGAAGTAGGTAGTCAGGAGCTGAAGAACAAAGGTGTAGCGTGGTGGCGCTTGTCCATTGCAGTCCAAAGTTTTCTGGATTGTCTGGAGGAGGGACCTTGACTGAGGCTTCCATGCTCTCCACATGACATCAAAGAGCTGATTTCCTTTCGACGTCAGCTCAGTGGTGAAGGCAGTGTGGTAGGAAAACCCAAGGAGTGTATCAACATGAACGAAGAAGTGTGGCTCTTTGAAGAGGTGAGGCCAAGACTCCGCAATTTCAAGGAGTGTTTGCTGCATGGAGTTGATGTGCCTCCTCTGCAGTGCGTAGGTTTTCTTCATAGTAGAGGAGATCTCCTCTAAATTGGTGGCTTTGCACAGCTGCTGCCTCATTACCTCTAGATCGTCCCACGTGTATGGCGCACAGTCTGGCTCCCATGCCACGCAACCGTGGGAGTCTGTTTGTCTGCCTTGCTTAGATAATGTCGCTTCTGGTTCGTCATCTTCAGTTCTTCCCGGCCCTCGTTTTGCAGCATTGTGTGGCCGACGCCTGTTATCCATGTATACAGCAAGTTGTCGTGATAAAGATGACGTACCGTCACCAATAATATTTCCTGTCGACATCACGTCAGCAAAGGAGTGTGGGTATCTTGCCACAACCAGGGAGGCAATCTTGCTTACTTCTTTGATTTTGGGTTTCGGATCATGCACTGCGATTGCTTCTCCCAGGAGTTTGACCATCTTTCGTCTTAGGTAAGGCTCTGGCACCTTCTCCTCTTGGCAGGTTCGTACCAGATCTGCAGGCATTGCGCCCCAATCCACTTCAAAAGAACTCGCCCAGCGGTCCTTCGAAGCCCTCTCTTGTGATGCGCGGTGAGCCGTGGCTGCCGCTGGGTTTGTCGGTGTTGAAGCTGCTGATGTTGAGGGAAGTGCACAGTTTTCAGTTTGCAGTTGGGACCCAGATTTTATGAGATGTAAAAGCTTCCTGATATGCAAGGTCTTGAGGAAAGGCTTTAAGTCCTGTTCTTCCAAGTATAGAAGGTCTTTTGCTGTACTGTATCCCCCCTCCACAAGGTGGGTCACCAGTGCGTCAAGTTGGTCATCGGGTATCTCGGGTACCAGTTGTGTTATAGTTGCCCTTACAGAGTCCATCTTTATTTTAGGGGAGAAATACAGTCAATGTGATTAGATTAAATTTCCTTTACTATCAAAAAAAAAAAAGTGACAGGAGACACTTAGCTATTTTTATAAAGGCATTCTAAAGCGTTAAGGAGCCTGGCAAAGCATCACTGTGATGAGAACTACAGATATGCAAAACCCTGCATGAATACAGCGATCTGATCATGCAATCTGCATCTGGAGACTTTATACCCACACCTGAACTGTATCTTCGACTTTCTTTTCTACCGGTCATCCAAAGTGTTCCTTTACATTTCTCCTATATCATAAACACAAGCGTGAATTAAAAAAGATTCCCTCGCAGTCACACTTCATAAGCTGTTTGATTTTCTTTTTATTAAGATATTGCATCCACCAGTTCACTGTGGATACCCACAGATACACAGGGCTCTACAGGTAAGGAGTATATTCCACATCATGTTTCAAGGAAACCACATTCCTTGTTCCACAGGCATAAATGTGCAAAGGAGAAAAATCCAGAAGCTGACTGTAAGCAACACACAGAAAACTACCTCTGCAACAATTTACAATTTTCAGTCCCATGCTTGCCCATGTTGTTATTTTGCATGCCTCTACCGCAAACACAACCTTCCCGTGCTCAACGATACAGCAAACTATTTTGCCAGCCATTGGCTCCCTACACTGTTGGAAAAAAATTACCGACCCCGCCACATACTCTGTCCCTCGATACACCAATGTTTGACTAACTTCAGCAGCTGACAGTTGAATGCCACAGCTCACTACACCATCAGTGAGTTCTTTTGAATACATTCCCTCTACAAAAGACAATGCATGCTCTTGAAGCAATTCATCTGGAAAAAGCTTGCCCGCTCTGCAATATGACTGAAGCATCTCGTGCTTCCTTGCCATAGAGTAAGTAATATTTTTGAAATTTTGAGTGCTGCGTATGATTCGCTTAAAGTAGGAATGCTTGCTCTCAAAGCGAAGCGTTGACAAATGGCACAATGGACCGTATTCGTAGCAGAGGTCGGGGTAGTGCCTCAGATAATGATGTTTGGGTTTTAGAGCTATGCCAGGAAACAGATGTACCCTACGGGACAAATAGTCATCAATGAGAGCACGCAAGTACTCTATTTGAGTCACATGAAGTTGAGGCGATGCCAAGATGGTTACAATGTCTTTTAGGATGAGGTATAGCTGCCACGCCTCATCTTCCACATCTCTGACCTTGTCAAAGAGCAGGACGGGCAAAAATCTGACAAGATAAAATGTCTCTACTGCCTCTCCTCTACAGTTTCCTTCACAGGAAACTTTGCACGGCCGGTTCTTAGAGTCATGCCCCTTAAGCTTCATGTTCGCTATTCTTGAATTGAGTTCCTCAATGCTGAACCACTTCTTCTCAATGGCGAGTCTCCGAAGGATAAGCGATAGGTCATATGGGACTACACCCTCATATAGGTCGTGAGCAATGCACGGGGGCAGGCCAGACGTGGCATGAAAACTCAGGAGTGAGTTTAGGGATGAGTCAAACTTAACCCCAAGACATGAGTCTAGTCCTTCTTCCTTGATGCGCTTTAGACATTTTTCATAGCTCTCAGCCGTACGGCGAGGTCCCATCGATCTAAAATCGGCCATAAAGGCATCTCTTGTCACTTCGCAAAAGCGACAGAAATATTTTGACCTTGAAAACGACTCTACAAAGCCCCCTATCCCGTGGCTTCCGAGGTTGTCACCGAGACATGACAACAAGCCGCAGTTGTATCTGACTCCATTTACTGTAACACCATCTTTTTCAAGATCTGCAAGGTCTGATACAAGAGACTTCATCACAACATCATGTCCCACTTTTTGTAAGGTGGACTCATAGCACAACATTACTAACTGCATCGCATGAACTTTTGTTTGAGCGAATGGTGGCATGTTAGCGATGGTGTAGTACATCCCCAAGATTTTGTGTTTTTTTCTGGCAGATCCTAAAGGGTTAGCAACTTCAAATGCATCCTGAAATAATAGTAGCTGAATGGTGTTCTCACCAGCAATAAAAAAATTGGACTCTCCATAGAGCTTCCCATCAGTGATGTCTTGGAGAAAGCCAGGCTCCAGATCGTTTGTGCGAGAGAGTAGCTTCTGAACAGAAATGTCAGAAAGGAAAGCCTCTAGTGTTTCCTTCACTGGCACATAGTGAAAACTTCTAGCATGCGCACATTTAACTTCCACAGGGTCTATCACGACAAAATTATTTCTGTAGAACTGGCTCCTCGAATGCATACTACGCAAGACCCCACTGTCTGGGCACAGAGGAGATTGCTCAGCTTTCAGTTCTGCCACAACTGCATGGCATACTTCTGCGCTGACATCGAAGCATTCCAGAACTCTACAAATGCCTGAAACTTTGCTGTCTTTAGCTACAGATTCAAGAAAGTACATCTCATTGGCAATACTCTGGACAACTGATGCAGGCACTAGGTGCATTGATTCCAACTTCATAAAAAACAAGGCCAGATGTGTTGTTTCTAACGATGCCTCACCAGGGCCCTCACAAGATGTGTTTGCCTGTTCAGCACTGTGCGCGAATGAAAGAGACTCACTGTTCTCCATGTCAGTTCTAGGTTGTGCACCATCACTATCATAATCATGTTGACTGTATGACGATGGGGGTTTTGCCTGGTGACTATGACAGCGACTCATGTGCGCCGAGAATGTATTTGAGTTCTGGAACTGCCTTCTGCAGTTTTCCATGAAGCAACTTGTCTTGAGGCCTGAACTGATGTGGCCTTTGATATGTTTGGTCATTTCCAGTCTGCTCCAAACCTTTTGTGAGCAGAATGCGTGAGGGCAAACATATTCTCTCCCGTCGTGATGAGATTTCTGCCCACTGTGACATTTTGACGTGTGCACTCTTAGGGCATTGAATGAGCGGAAAGACCTGCTACACCATTCTTTCAAGCAGGGCAAACTTAGGTTGTGACTTGTTGAATGAAGCCTATAGTGTCTCTCATAGTGATACAAGTTTTTCTGTCGCAGCTTGCACACATGGCAACTGTACATGATGCAGTTTTAGTGATGTGAACTTCCGGCCTGAAATGGGAGAGTTTTTGAAATAAGAAATAACATAACCGATGAATACTGCCATAATGCTGTGCTTATGTAACCAACGGCAGAGGTTCATAAAGTATCAAATGTCCAGAAGAGGCAAATTCCTATACTGAAAGTGTGCGTTAAATGTGTTCATTTGACATCCTGGTTTAATTGACCCAGCTTTTCATTAGTCAACGATCCAAAAATAGCAAAATGTTTGTCGAATCTGTGTTACATTTAAATTGTAGAACAGGTGTCCCACTGTACAAGCTATTTTGATGTCTGTGGGCTTGTTTCAATTCCAAAAGTTAACTACAAATGTCTGGGTAAAAAAGAGAAACATTAGATGCCCGCAGTAATTACCACAGAGGAGAGAGTATGTGAATTAGCCATCCGCATGTTATGGTTGCTAGTGATTTGGCTTCAAATTGCGCTGCTCTAGCATGATTCACAAGAAAGTTACAACTCCGCAGAGAGTGAAATACCACCACCGCAGACCGCTCAAGTGCAAAACTTCTTTTTTGCCTATAAAACACATGGTTTGGAGTGTTGCCCAATTTAAAAGAGCAGCACGCCGGCATTTCGCCCTTTGATGTTTGAGCACACTCCTCTGTGGAAGTAGTCAAGTGGTATATACGTACCTTCAGACTATGGTGATGGCAATTACGGTGCAGGCCTCGCTTGCGACCACCACTGGACAGAGGGACGCAGAGCCAGGCAGAGCCCTGCTGTAGGTCTGGGTAAAAAAGAGAAACATTAGACGCCTGCAGTAATTACCACAGAGGAGAGAGTATGTGAATTAGCCATCCGCATGTTATGGTTGCTATTGATTTGGCTTCAAATTGCGCTGCTCTAGCATGATTCACAAGAAAGTTACAACTCCGCAGAGAGTGAAATACCACCACCGCTGAAGGGCAAAACTTCTTTTTTGCCTATAAAACACATGGTTTGGAGTGTTGCCCAATTTAAAAGAGCAGCACACTGGCATTTGGCCCTTTGATGTTTGAGCACACTCCTCTGTGGAAGAAGTCAAGTGGTGTATACGTACCTTCAGAGTACGGTGATGGCAATTACGGTGCAGTCCTCGCTTGCAACCACCACTGGACAGAGCGACGCAGAGCCAGACAGAGCCCTGCTGTAGGTCTGGGTAAAAAAGAGAAACATTAGACGCCTGCAGTAATTACCACAGAGGAGAGAGTATGTGAATTAGCCATCCCCATGTTATGGTTGCTGGTGATTTGGCTTCAAATTGCGCTGCTCTAGCATGATTCACAAGAAAGTTACAACTCCGCAGAGAGTGAAATACCACCACCGCTGAAGGGCAAAACTTCTTTTTTGCCTATAAAACACATGGTTTGGAGTGTTGCCCAATTTAAAAGAGCAGCACGCTGGCATATGGCCCTTTGATGTTTGAGCACACTCCTCTATGGAAGTTGTCAGGTGGTGTATACATACCTTCAGACTATGGTGATGGCAATTACGGTGCAGGCCTCGCTTGCGACCACCACTGGACAGAGGGACGCAGAGCCAGGCAGAGCCCTGCTGTAGGTCTGGGTAAAAAAGAGAAACATTAGACGCCTGCAGTAATTACCACAGAGGAGAGAGTATGTGAATTAGCCATCCGCATGTTATGGTTGCTATTGATTTGGCTTCAAATTGCGCTGCTCTAGCATGATTCACAAGAAAGTTACAACTCCGCAGAGAGTGAAATACCACCACCGCTCAAGTGCAAAACTTCTTTTTTTCCTATAAAACACATGGTTTGGAGTGTTGCCCAATTTAAAAGAGCAGCACGCTGGCATTTGGCCCTTTGATGTTTGAGCACACTCCTCTGTGGAAGAAGTCAAGTGGTGTATACGTACCTTCAGAGTATGGTGATGGCAATTACGGTGCAGGCCTCGCTTGCAACCACCACTGGACAGAGCGACGCAGAGCCAGACAGAGCCCTGCTGTAGGTCTGGGTAAAAAAGAGAAACATTAGACGCCTGCAGTAATTACCACAGAGGAGAGAGTATGTGAATTAGCCATCCCCATGTTATGGTTGCTGGTGATTTGGCTTCAAATTGCGCTGCTCTAGCATGATTCACAAGAAAGTTACAACTCCGCAGAGAGTGAAATACCACCACCGCAGACCGCTCAAGTACAAAACTTCTTTTCTGCCTATAAAACACATGGTTTGGAGTGTTGCCCAATTTAAAAGAGCAGCACGCTGGCATTTGGCCCTTTAATGTTTGAGCACACTCCTCTATGGAAGTTGTCAGGTGGTGTATACATACCTTCAGACTATGGTGATGGCAATAACGGTGCAGGCCTCGCTTGCGACCACCACCGGACAGAGGGACATAAAGAGCCCTTCTGTAGGTCTGGGGAAACAGAGAAAAATTAGGCGCGCGAAATAATTTCCAGGGAGGACGGTGCGAAAGCCCTTTCTGTTAAATTACCATCAGCATGTTATGCTGATTTTAATGACTGAGCTCCAACTGTCGGTTCCCGAACATGATTGACAGGGAAGTTATGGCTCAAAAGACAGTGAACACTGACGGCAGGGTTCGTTTAACTTTCTAGCGTAAGCAACAAGTGCTTTAATGTACTGTATTTTCCGGTCTAAAGACCCTAGGAGCCAATTTTGCCTAAAAAATAAGTTTCGTTTGGATAGTTGGCGCTCAATGCATAGTCCGCAGGGCAAAACGTAGGCTGAAAAGCTAACATCCATAGTCTGTCAGTCCGCACCTCTCGCACAAAAGATATTTGCGGACGAAAGTCTGGATTTTCTTGTGCACCTCTCCTGGGTGAACCGCAGAGCTCTCAGCTTGACCCACATTGACCGCTTGCAGGCATCCAAGCAAGCAGTGTGTCACACGCAAGGCATAGAAAGCCTGAGCAACAGATTGAAAGTGTGACGTTCACTTCTTAATCCCGGCATAAAACATTTGAAAATCTGCAAGCCAATCAGACCAGTCTGGTGCTAACGAAGGATCTAGAAACAAAAATTAGTGCATAGTATAACCCGTATCTGTAGATAGTCTGCACAACATAAAAAAACAACTTTTATACATGCATAGTCTGCAAACTATAGACCTTTCCAGCGGCAGTCTCGAACGAAGCGAGCGGGTAAAAAATGCTGAGTCACTGAGCTGTGGACACATGCGCAGCGCCCGATATACCGCTCAGCAGATCAACAGCGCATGCTTAGAAGGCGTTCCACAGCCCAGCAGACAAAGATGGCAGCGCGCAGCAGGGGATTTCTGCAAAGGTCTATAGACCAGAAAATATGCACTGTCTGATTCCAAAGCGCTGCACACTTCCGTTTTGCCTTTTGATGTTTGGCCTACTTATACCAACACACTCATTGATAGAGTTAGTCAAGTGGTGTACACATAATTTGAGATGTTGCTGATGTCAGTTATTCTACATGACTCACTTTCCGCCACAACATAACACAGGGTCACATAGCCACACAAAACAGTGATACATGTTTGGGTAAGAAAAAAGTTATGAAAAACAAATTAACATTATGTACACGCTTGAATTTGCATGGACCAGGTAACGGAAACCTTTTTGAACTTACCGTCTGCATAAATGTACTCGGTGTGACTGTAAAAGCTGGCAAGTTTGGCACGCTGGCAAAGTTTGCAGCTGGCGATGAACGATATAATTGCGATGAAGATTTATTTTTACAAATTAAATGACCAATTACCCAGATTAACAAATATTTTAAAATGAAGAAACGTTTATTTATGAAAGATCTACATTACACAAAAAAAAGGTTGCACCTGTTTTTTTTGTTTTTCTTTCGTCTTGCTTATTCGTTTGGGCGTCCCCAGAACGAAATGGGAAAAACAACCGTTCGTCCGGTTGTTTTTCCTGGTAACATGACATCAAAAGTACTGCCAGCGAAATGGATACGATCGCTGTCGCGGCTGTGACGAACACGGCGGCATAAACATCGAAACCGAAATGTCGCGAGTGAATATACGTACGTCAACCGCGCGAGCCTATGCGGAACCACTACGCAGCGAATTTCTTTCAACCGCTCTACGCGCTCTACCTCCTTGGGAACATCAGTTCGTCTCCCGATCTACAAGCGCAACACACAGAGAGATCGCTCGCGATTTACAAGGGGCACAGGAATTCACTCGGCGAGCTATCCAGATTTGCAAAAAGAAGGCACTAACATTGTTCCGAGAAATGCACAATTTTTCAAACGCCTCGATCAAATCATTATTTAACGCGATTATTTTGCTGGACACCAGCCTCTTGTAGGATAGAGGAGGCTTCTTTTTTGCATTCAGTACTACATTACCGGAGCCGACGGCAACGAAAATATGCACTGTAGCCGTTCTTGTTCTGTTTTTAAGATTTCACGGCTTCAGAGTTGACGAATAAGAGAAAAAACATAATACTCTTGGCTCAAAAATGTTTGTATGACCAGTTTCAGGTAAGCACGTTTGAAATTTGAACCTTTAAAGACACGCCAAATGTATTGGATTTTAAATACAAAAGTTATTCAAAAGGACGCACTCACACTCGGTCCTCATGCAGCACCGCAGACACTACCGACGGCAATGCAGAGCGGGGACCAGTAGCACTTTGTGGCGTATACAACATGTTCTTTGGAGTACCGATTTCAAAAAGCTCCATCCTTCTTTTTATGCCTTTCGATGTTTCTTTGAAGCAATAAAGTAGTGTTCACATACCTTTGGACGTCGCTCCGCCAGGAACGAACGGAGGGAACGGCGCGATACAGCCAAACAGGCCACGCCAAAAACCACGAGGCTTCGATTGCTGCGCGAAAGGGTAAAGTGCTATCGGAAACAATATGAGCGTGAACGCGCTTCCGCAGTGACAAGCGGAGGCGCGTTCACGCTCATATTGTCTCCGATATTACATAGAAAGTTTGTTGGAGTAGTGCATACCTTTGGACGCCGCTTCCCGCAACGAACGAATGGAGGGCACGGCTTATAAGGCAACGCCAAAAACCACGAGGTTGTGATTGCCGCGCGGACGTAAAGAGAAAGTTTGTTAGTACGTCCTACACGCGGCGGTACTGGCGGTACATGAACAAACGCGACGATGCGCCGGAAAGGGAGAGGGGGGCCTCCGGGCGTCGAGGTCGAGCACGGGTCGGGTTCGCCCTTCTCTGCGCATGCTCGGCGTCCAGGCGCCTGGCATGCTCCGCTGGCTCTCGGCTCGCCGCGCGCGCTTTTCGCCCCGTTCACTCCGAGAAACGATCACAACTCATCTTTTAAAAATACGAAAGCGCGTCGTATTTTTTGATTGTGAAAATGCACGTATATTTTACGTACATTTTTTACAGTGTAAGTAACTAACCACTCTCAACCCACATTTGCGCTTTAAATATAAGCTTTGGCCACTCGCGCAAGTACCACTTTTTCGCAGGCTTCTGAGATAGGATAGAACTTATTCGTTCTCTCAACCGAGCAGGAGAAACAAACCAAGAACACGACCATTTTCAAGCCGAGTAAAGCATCTTTGCTGCGACCGCCAGGCCTTTTACAGTCGTCGGATGGCCGCGTCCTAAAGCCCCTCTATCATTGGAGAAGTGGCGCCATTCATTGCTGTGGAATTGCTCGAGACACGTGCGGCGCGCCACTTCTGGGAAGAACATGGCGTCTGAAATCTAGCTCAGTCCTCGTTGCCGCCGTGGTCTTCCCAGTGGGTGCACGTTGAACGTGCCTCGTGCATCGACGCACCTTGCGCTACCTTTGAAATATGAAGGGGCTTTACCGCGCACTGCTCCACAGCGACCTCAGCGGCGTGGTGGCACGTCGTGACACTCTCATGGCCGACGGACCGCACACCTCCCCATTCTAGTACAGCCTAACTAAATGCGGTGGGGGATTGTTGGCCGAGTGCGTCGGCGCACCGCAGCTCTTAGCACGTGGAGAAATGACCAATCGCGAGCTCTGTACAAGTCATGGAGCTCACACTGCAAAACCTGCAGAGAACAGGGGTTCAATCTCCCATCTCCATTGTGCCGGCGTTCGACCATGTATTATTACTGCGTGACTGACGTTTTAGACCGCGAACTAACAGTTGTATTGCACTGGAAAATCTACTCTACAACGGGCAACAATGTTGCCGTAGAAAACTCCTATTGTCTAAAAACAAACGACAAATTTTAAATTCGCCGTGACATTGCATTTTATTGCGTTTTCGCGTGTTTCCGTTTTTTGTTTTTTTTGTCTACATTTTTCACTATTTGGCTTTTATTTACGATTCAACAAAGTATAGGTGTCGGACTTTTGGAAATAATTATTTAACTAGGAAAATAACACCTTAACTCAAAAGACGAAAAAAAACAGGGACCTTTATTTAGAACAATGAAAGAGTAGAATGTGTTACACTTGTCTTTCACACGTGATAGCACATCACGATTAGCTCAATTTAGGTTTGAGGGAGCTACAGGCTTTGGACGGCTCTATCGAGGACATGCAATTCTTCATTGAAAGAGTAATTCAGAGCAGCATGCTCTCTCTTGTAGGTTCCGCTTCGCTGGCAAGGTTAAACTAGATACCAGTGATGGGCAGTATTTCAAATACAAGTATTTGAAATACGTATTTCAAATACTTTGTGTATTTTGCATTTGTACTTAATTACAAATTGGGTAATGTATTTAACGTGTGTATTTAAATACTAAAACGTGGGTATTTCAAATACAATTGTAATAAATACAATTTTGTGGGCGAATATACATCCCTTAAATGTATTGTTACTGTCCAGAGCAGGAAGAAAACTACGTTCTGCACTGAATGCAGTGTCTCTCAATCAAGCACAAGCGTTTAGTGACTTTGTGCTTACGGTTCTAGTCCAGGGCAAGAATAGTGACGAAATCGACGTTCACAGGCAGAATGGCTATTTAAGTGCCTGTGACAACTTGTGATGCATTCCAGCCTGATTTCCATCCATATTTTTGCCTGGAACATTCTAAATGCGCGGGTCGTCCAGATTTTTGTAACTGGTGCGAGTTGCAACAATAAAAAAGTCTCTAGCTTGCGCTTGTTGGTCTATACCAAAATGTAATCGACAAAAAACGCTGCTTGAAGCTGTGTACTTTTTTCACCTATTACGTCCAAGCTGATTACATTTTTTGTGATTTTATTTCGATTACGTTACTAGAGCTTCGCACACTAACTGCCGAGTGTGCGATGCAAAAGTAAAATGAGATACCCAGAAACCCGTTGCAGGTGCCCTGAAGTCGCTGACGCAAATTTTGAGAAATGTATTTGGAAAAGTATTTGGAGGAGACCAAATACATTTGGTTGTATTTGTATCTTGTATTTAAATGTTTTTTTAAATGTAATTAGATTTGTTATTAAATACATTTTTGATGAAGTATTTTGTGTTTGTATTTCGATACATATTTGCATGTATTTTGCCCATCCCTTCTAGATACATTACTGATAAAGTATTTGGTGAAACACAACTTACCTACTGCATATGCTCAATGCCTCAGTTTTCACGTAACTACACATTTGCTTATTATTGTTTTAGTTTCCCACTGCCATTCAGCTCGTGCTCTTTTGTGTGCGACATGAATTTTAGACCAACGTAGCTCAGGAGCAATCCATTTCGCGGATTGTAAAAATCCTGTCCTACTTACCACGTGAGCCACAGTCAAGAGAGACTATTTAAACTTCACACGCGGTCATTTTCGTGGGTGAAAAATGTTGTTTGTCAAGAACAACAGCGGCTGCAAAAAATTATTTAAAAAAAGAACAAAACAAAAAAACTCGCTGTCAGCACGCTACCCTTAGCATGCAGTTAATACTCATAATCGGCGCCGAGTTGATTGGTAGCTTTCAGCAGGTGGATTTTTTCTGTCATGCAAGTGTTGGAATACTTTTCTTTCTGTTGTAAGCAATCAGTTCGAAATCAATATGTAATAAACTACTACGAACATTCAAACATTACGGAGTGAGCAGTATTTGCGTACGTACAAGCTTTAGCTTTCGAAGCACCCTTCACTTTCCATGCGCTCAACGCTAGTGTAAAATATAGCGCTTTTCTTGTCTTAATCATCGTGCGATGTGCTCACTTACACCATATTTTATACGTCAGAGTCAACCCTTTGCATATTTTTAATTGTAGCATACCACTGCTTCCGTTAACAAATCACCAAATTAAGACTGGCACATTGCCTAAACTCGCTGGAAAATCTATTCACAGACCCAAACTCTTTGCCTGGTCAGTCACGCATTTATAACCGAACCCGTGTTAAACTTAATTTGTATCACTGATTGGTTTGAGGACATTTTTATTCCTGCATGGAGTTTACCAAACTCAATATCTACACCCTAGTGTCCTTTTCTTGTTTTGCTTTCCGGTGTCATGGTTTTGGACAAAATAAACACCCAGTTACGTAGATTAGACTCCAGACAAGACAGTATAAATTGTTTTTTTTTTTATTTTATTATTTTGGGTATTTATTTCCCCAAGCCGGAAGTTCGAAAACCAAGATCTATCACGTCGTTACGTTTTCCTAGAAATCCATAAAGCGCGAAACACATGCACGACAAAAGGGCCGGCCCGTCATATATATGTGATCACATTAAAATATGGGGAATTAGCCTCCGAAATCGCCGGAGTGCTAATTGAGAACAGGCTCTTTTACATGCTTTTCTTCAAAACTCCGTTTGTTTCGCTGTGCATGCGTCTCGCCATAAGCTGAGGACGATTTGCGCGTTTTGTTGAAATCACATTTGCTTGAGACCTGAGCTCCGAGTGTAGGCAACTGGCCCCCTTGAACGAGAACTAGCGAAGCCGTGAGCATTCCACAGAAACCTTGAGCAGAAAAAAAAAACAGTCGAAGGACCAGGGATGTTGATTTCAATATATCGAAAAATACCTCACTGTATTGATTCGCCACGACGCACAATTTCTTGCATTGATGTACGTGCCTGGAAGGCAATCTCACCACCATCTGATGGTTCAAGATCACATTAACCAAGGGTGGGGTGGGGCCTTGAGGCATCACCAGCCTCATGAGCTCATCAGGAACACCCATGAGACCATTCATATCTGCCTCTATGTCCCGCCGTTTCGAAGCAGCCTGAATGCGCGCAAATGCATGGGAAACTCTCACTTTAGATAATAATATTAACTTTGTTTTAAAAGCATAGTGCGTGGCAAGTCTTGAGAGTTTTTTTATTGCTCCTCAGTCAATGACACTGCGGACGTAGCCATATGAACGCGTTAAGTTGTGGCTGTATAAATCAATACTTCTTAAAACGGGCAAACACCAATCATTTCTTTTACTTCTTCCTACCTCCATGAGTGAACGTTTGTAAGCCACATAACTATTTAATTAACTAGGTGTGGACCACACGGCCATGTCAAATGAACATTGTCGATGTTTAATTTTAGTTGTATATGGCAAATATAATACTTGAAATGACCTCAAAAACAAATGGAATGCAAAATCTTGTTGAAATTGTAGTCGTTGAACAGCGATGCGAAAACAGTCGTCCTCGGGCATCCTAGTTCCTCAACTCGTACTCAGGAATGTCCTGGAGGCTCGTAGAATATGTTCTCGCTGAACCCACTGATAGCATAGATGAACCTGTAGAAAAATTAAGAAATAAAGTCATTGTTTGACATGGTTTTATTAAGGTCTTGCCCCACTACCAGAAAGGAATACACTAATTTGTTTTTGTCGGCCAAACAAAATCAGATCTTTGGTTACCACTACACTCTCTAGCAACTCAGCATGTAGACAAAAGTGTTCAGTTTTGACGTAATTGAGCCCACTTTGGAAAAGCACCCCATTGCACGTCGAACGCAAATGAACGTCAGAAGTGCTTGTGCCTAAACAAGCTCGCCACCTCTTACTATGGATTAACCCCCTGCACGCTTCGGATTTTGTTTTTTGTTGAGTTAAATGTTTTACCATAAAAAATGGCACGTTCTCACTCGCGAATTCGTTATTAGTTCACCGAAGTAAAACCGTCTTTCCAGACTGGTGTACACTCCGGAAGAAGTAAATGTACAACCGAAAGTCTACTACGGCATGATATACAGCGGAACCATCGTGTTAAAAACTAACA